TACAGAAACTACCCAAATCCTCCCGGGTCCCCGACCCTACGGATCGATAGGTAAAGGACTTGGGCACACTTGATGACATGATGAACCGCCACCTCAACTTAGCTTTAATTTCGATTATATAAGTTATATGAGTAGTTAAGCATAAAGTCATGTATGCTACTCTCATGACATACAAACTATAGACTAGTTCATATATTAAGATCATAACACAATAACTATACTATAGTTCATAAGTATGACTATAATTGTAATATAAGAGCATAACTTTGAAAGAACTCATATCTCTATTCATACTTAAAGGTCTCTTCTTCTAAGGAGACAAGCTCTCCAAGATAGCTTTACCTTGCTCTAAAGCTACTAAAAAGTAAAACTACAACTACTAGAAGGGAGTGAGGTAGTGGTGTGTGAGGTGATGCTCAAGTTGAGTGTGTTGTAGAGGGAGGGGTACCCCTCTATTTATATACACGGATCTAGGCGGTGCTAGAGGCTATTCCTGGCGCGAGGACCGGCTCCAACCGCCTCAACATGGAGGCATGCCACCGCCTGTCGAAGGGGTGGCTGAGCAGCGTCGGTAGGGGGTTGACCGCCCCTTGACCGTGCCGCCTCGCCACCGCCTTCGCGTGGTAGGCTTTGGGCTGGGCCTAGATTGCTTCCCGTGGTGCTTTGCCCGGTTTGAGTCGAGTTGATGGGCGTCTCCCTCGTTAGTTTGCGCAAATCAGCGTCGAAAAGCGACTTTCGGTGAAATCTTCCATGTATTTATGTTTGTAACCTGCAAAATAATGTTCTCTAAATACATGTGGAACTTGGTTAATAGTAAATGCATATGTGTTTGAGATTGCCAATTTCTCTCTTTTTGTGTCTTAATTGGCGGTCGGATTTGATCGGTAAAGACCGCCAACAATGGTACAACGTACGTTCAAACTTTAATTATCATGGTTATATCTTTTTTTTCGTTGCAATGGACGGACAAAGTAGAAGTGATAATGAGGCACTCAATAATTAGTGAATGGATCCCAGTCATCTTTAGCTTCAAGTTAGTAGTTGCTAGCCTGCAGGTTCCTATGAGTTTCTTATATGTGACAATTGATGCATCTGAAGTTCTGAACAACTAGACACATCTTCTTCATGTCTGTTAACTTCTGCAGGTTCAGTGTAACCGAGCACAACGCCTTTTTAAAATAAAAATGAAATATGGGAACAATATGCTTACTTTGAAAAAAGAAGAAATTCTAGTTCAGTTGAGCAGTGCGGAATGTGGAGCAAACCGGCAACAGCACGGGAGGGGATGAGGTTGAGATGTCGAGGTAGATGCGTGGACCGTGGAGCTGAAGCTGGTAACCGATCGGTGCTGCTTGCTTTGTCCTGGACAGCTTGAGCTTGGAGGTTGGAGCTAGAGCCGACCGCCCGAGAAGGAGTCGCCGCCGCCGCCGCTCGGATGTACGCGTGCCGCCGCCGAGCTGGATGGAGCAGCCGCCACGCTGATGCGCACGCGCTGCCGATGCCGCCCCTGACGCGCGCCGCGCCGCCGCCTTGATGCGCGAGCCACCGACGCCGCCCTGATGCACGTGCCACAGACGGACTTCACCAAGATGCGAGCCGCTGCCGCTGCTCCCGCCCAAATGCGGAGAAGTGAAAATCTCTCCTCACTGGCCGTCCGGGGATGATAAAGCCGGTCGACCGCGTGCCAGGAAGCGAGTCACGGAGGGGAGCCGGGGGCGGGAGGTGAAGGGGGTGCACCGCGCCGGTATACCCGCCGCCGTCGACGCCACAGGAGGAGCAGGCGGGCGCCATTTCCTGCCTCCGCTTCGGAAGACCTCGGCCGCGGCGACGAGGCGAAGGCGCGAGGTTGAGGGAAGGTAGGGAGTCCGGTGTGGGGTCGGGGAGGTAAGGGTTGTGGAGGCACGCTGATCTGGGCCCTCCTCGCTTGAATTTATCGAACCTATGGTTTCAGCGAAATATCAATATTTTTTCTCACAACAAATAACATAAGCGTTAACCGTTTTTCCAGCCAGCCGAACAGAGCTTGGCTCTCCTTCTCTGACAGCATCTGGTTCTTGCCACCAATTGCATAGAAAGAAATATTGCCCTGCATTCCAAATTATAAGTAATTTCAAGAATCTTGGAAAGTCCAAGCATATCAAGTTTGACTAAATTTATATGATAAGAAAATAATATTTATGATACCAACTAAGTATCATTAGGTTCTTTGTTAATTATATTTTCATAATACATCTATTTGATGTCATAATTTTTTTGTAATTCTTTCTATAATTTTGATCAAGCTTGAGATGCTTTGACTCTTTAAAATTATTGGAATGACTTATAATTTAGAATGGAGAAGTAATATTTTCAAACAATTATCATCTTGAATCTCTAGAATCATTCTGGCCACCTCCTTGGCTGTACCATGGTCCCTCCGCCTTAAAATAAGTGATATTTTTTTACATTCGGACATCTTATTTGGCCATTCATCTTATTGATTTTTTTATAAATATAAAATAAATAAATTATTATTAAAGTATATTTAATGATAAATTAAGTTATAACAGAATAGATAATATATTTATATAAAAATTTTGAATAAAATGAACGGCCAAATAAAATATCTAAAAGTTAAAAACGTCACTTATTAGGACGGAGGCTTTTCGCGCCAATTCTCCAGGCCACAACATCGCCACAGCTCCCTCACCTACTCTCCGTTCGGCTTACCCCATATCTGACTTGTTCGGTTTCTTTTTTCAGCCGGAACCGTATTTCTCTCTCACAACATTTCAGCCAATGTTTTTCAGTCAATTTCAGCCAAAATTCAACAAGCCCGAGATAGTGTGTTGTTTCTTTTATTTGTCCAAATTTTTTATTTTAATATTTCCCTTCAATTTTTATTATAGTAGATAAAAAACGAGTGATATTTTCTCTAACACAAATATTGGCACACTTAGCGTCATAGTGCTGTTCTATGCCATCTCTTAACCCGCAATCATAAATATGTGCCACAGCAAAGGCAAATATCACGAGTGACTGTTGTTTCCCGTCAATCAATCTCATGGGAAAAAGGCACGCCTACCCGGCCCCACTACTTAGGGCCTGTTCCGCAGTATTGTAATCATTTTCACCTGTAAAATATTTCCGCTTGTAATTTCTTGTGCACATGAATACCTCTTGATTTTTTTTTGCCAGCGGAAAATGTTGTTTTGTTCGAGCGATGGATCGCCGTAGACCTTGATAGCGGAAAATTTTCAGATTGGTAGGAGGAAGTGCGCGAACGAGGTCAGCAAGCCGCGCCGCCGCGCGATGGCGTGCATCAACATGTACAACCCTTACGGCGCCGCGGGGTTCTGCAGCGGCCCGCAGCCACCGGCCGCGCTGAGCCCGCGCATCTCCTTCTCAGCGACTTCGCGGTGCCGCCGTCGCCGCCGGTGCAGAAGCAGAACCGGCCAATGAGCCTGCGCATGATGGCGGCCACCCAGCTCTTCTCCAAGGGTAGGATCCTTCATCTCAAGGACAGCCCCAGCTGCTTCGCCGCCGCACGGCTGCCCACCACGCTGCGCGACGAGCTCTGTGGCGGCGGCGCCAACGACGACGACGAGAGGGCCTCCTCCGTCAACAAGCGGTCCAGCCGGTGGAAGGAGTTGCTCACTCTGCATCGGCGGCTGCGGCGGTGCCAAGAAGGCTAGCAGAGACAAGCAGGACGTCACCGCCGACGCCGACATGGCCACGTCCAATCAGGTTGGCATCCGAGATGAGAGAGACGAGCCCGATAACTATGGAAAAAAAGTGTGGCCTAGCCTAAACCGGTTGTAAATTTATTATGGAAACTGATCATCCAAACAGTTTTTTTTCCTGCCAACCCGTATAATTTTCCATACCTGTATTTTACAAGGGTATTAGGCTTAAAACCTTTCATCCAAACAGGTCCTTGTCATGGCCGTCGATCGGCTCCGTGGGTTGCATCGTTGATTAGATTTTTCTAAATCAATTTCTCTCCCAGCCTTCTTCCCTGCGCCGCGTCACTTCCGCCCAATGCGCCATTGCTAACCTGCTCCCTGCGCCTCCTCCTTCACCGGCGAGGTGCCCTCGGCCCCGGCACCTGTAGCCCCGACCGGCTTTGCCCCCACCCTGGCACCTATAGACCCCAGAGGCGTCGCCCCTTACCACAACACTAACCTCCACGCGCTCCCTCATCTGCCACTGCGTCGGCGTCGCCCCATGCCATGGCACCGACTGCAACCACTTCGTCCGTCACCGTGCTAGATCAAGTGTCCACCACCGCTCCCGTTCGACATCTCGAAACGTCCCCACTCGATGCCCCATCCCTCTCACCCAGACGCCTGCCCAAATTCTCGTGACCTTGCGAATCTTGACACCCTTCCTATGGCATACATGCATGTTGAAAATCCACTCCCTCAATCTTCTTCTCGATATTAGTTACTCTCTCAATCTTCTTCTCGATACTTGACCATTATCCACATCGACAGTATTTCCAGTTTCCTACAACAACTTAATGGTTGTATCGTTTTGGTCCATCAAATTGGAAAATATGCAAATAGATGCATAAACTAGTTGAATGTGTGCGTCTACAATCACACGTCGGTCACATGACGTATTTTGCCACCGTGGCAGGTGACATGAAACGGTTTTATACACGTAGCCCCAGCTACCATTGTTCACACTTCTCGCCCAAGATTTTTATGCGGTCTGTTTTCTTTCTTTGTGTCTGTTGCTCGTCCAATCAACTGAGCACAGGATATATATATATCAGATCGACGACAATTCCTGGCAATATTCGACGATGACGATGGAGCCACGGCGACGTGCCCAAGATTTGTTTGCGTATGAGTTCGCTTTTGCTGGATCTGAAGCCTTCTACTCGCTCCACGGTGCAGGCATCGCTCTTCATTAAAAAACGGATAATCAAAAGCAATGTTGATCAATCCCCGAGTCCCCGTCCCCGTCCCCGTCCCCCAATCCGGCGGCCGTGCTCCCACCGCGCGCCTGACAGAATGCGCGGTCGCCACCTCCTAAAACCCCTGCCCCTCCTCACCCCTAAACCCCCTTCCCGGCCGCCCGCCGCCCACTTCCGCGCCCGTGCCGCAGCCCATCCGCCAACGCCGCGCCGCGCGCCGCTGGCCGAGCCCGACGTCGGCATCTCCCGCTTCGCCTCCTCCATCCCGGGCATCCGCGGCGCGCTCAAGCAGCGCTGCTCCGACTTCGTCGTCCACGAGGTCTCCCGCGACGGCGCCCTCGTCCGTCTCACCTCCTTCGATCTCCCCGACGGCGAGGAGGTATTTCTCTCCCGAACTCCCATGCTGCGGGTTTGCATTAGTGGACTGGGCTGTAATCTTATCCGCCATCCGCCATGTCCTAGGCTCTGACCTCGCTTCGGCTGCCTGGTCTTTGTGGATTTGCACTTTGCAGAGTGGAGATAATGCGGAGGACGGCGACCCCGACGCCGCCGCGAATCCATCGCGGGCGCTCGAGTCGTTCCGGCTGCTCTGCGGCGAAGCGGATTACGACGCGTTGAGGGGATTCCTGGAGAGGGTTTCTGAGGGAGGGGATGGTAATTTGTCGCCAATCATTCTGTCAGCTGATTCAGATAAGGCCCATCGATCGGTGAGTTTGGTTATCCCGAACGTGGTTTCAGTGGATGCCTGGATGATATGTGTCACCTGCCCTGTTGTAATTGTTTTTGGTGCAGGAGGTGCACGAGTTCATCAAGAGGAATTTCAAGTTCCTGAACACGGATACGGTTGAGCACAGCGATGGTATTCAGAAATGTATTAGGGTGCGCTTGGGTTCGGGGCCACGTGGTGGGAAAGGAAGGAACAGGAGAGGCATGGACAGTTCAGGCTGGAGAGATGACAAGCCGTTTGACAGTAGAGGCTCTACATCCTGGCCTTATCACCTGGGGAAGTTTCTGAGGTGCTGCCATTTTCTTTTTGTCATATGCATCTATGGTCTGCTGAGATAATGTGTTAGGATGCGCATTTGACTTGTTATTCATATTTCATGTATTTTGATTTTGAAATATAGCTGGTAATAGTAAGCAATATTACCAGGTTTCACCTTTACAAGGAGAACAAGGACACACAAGAGGCACTAGGAGTTATAGGAAAGATGCTAGGGGTTCAGGTAGTCTCCATGTTTTACTTATCAAAGTACTTCACAAGTTTTCTATTGAGTTGCTCAATTTTCTCATCGATTGGTTGGTGGCCTTAATTTCCACAGCCAAGATCGTTTGGATTTGCAGGAACAAAGGATAAACATGCTGTTACAACCCAACAGGTATGCCCTGAGTTGTTCCCATTTGTTGGTTTATTGTTGGACAATCTGGGTCAATATGGTCTGGTCGGGTAACAAAGTATTTGAATAAGCTTGATAAAAGGCTGATCTCAGTGTGAACAGCCCCCCCTCCTCCCAATTCTCTATCTTTTTTTCCCACTGTCCTGATGATTCCCTGCCTTTTTGATCAGGTGACACTTTTCAAAGTGTATGCCAGTAGGTTGGCTGCTCTTAATAGCAAACTCGTAGGTATCAGAGTTGGAGACTTTAGGTAACCATTCAAGCATATAGCTATGAACTGCTTTATGTAAAATCACTGACTACTTAGCTGCAAATGGCTCTCCAGTTACGCGAAGGAGGGCCTTACTCTTGGTCAACTCAGAGGGAACCACTTTGCAATTACTTTGAGGTGTGTACTCTCCTTGCTATGTGTGGCACTATTGGCAGCATTAGCATGCTGATTGTATGTCATGAATGGTCTTCATGAAACTGCTTGTGCTTTGCCAATTTTGATGCTACACGTGCACTATGAAACATGTCGTTGGAATCACGATAAAATGCTTGGTGGCTTGCTTTTAAGTTACAACTTATAAGGAACTCTAGAATTTTGTCCATCATTTTGCGCTATTATCTTTGGTCCACTTACTCGGGCCATGACCTTGTTTTCTAATTAAAGAGTGAACAGATAATTCATGTTTCCTGTTTCTTTTATCTCTCCCAGGAATGTTATTGCAGAATCGGCCGATGTTATAAATGCTGCAGTTAATGGTCTAAGTAAAAATGGATTTATCAATTACTATGGCTTACAGGTACAGGAACATGCTTCAAGTTAGTACTGTTTTTATATTATTATGTGATGTGTAGTTCATCATTTTTTGCTTCTTATGCCTGTTAAGATATGATTTTTTGTTCGTTATTCTGCAAATCATAATAGTTTGCTTCCATTGTGTTTGATAGCGCTTTGGCAGCGGTTCTGTACCTACTCACTTTGTTGGTGCTGCTTTGCTTAGAGGAGAGTGGAGACGTGCTGTTAGCTTGATTCTTGGTACAAGGGTAGGCGGTATTCTTTTTTCCCTGTTAAATAACTAAATAATTTATGTTAAATGTGAATATTTGAAACTTAACCCTAAGCCAAGCTAATAATGTGAGGAGAGGTAGAGAAAGACCGAAATTGACAAAGGGGGAGGCAAGACCTATGTTTGAATAGGAGTGCTTGGAAAGTAGCTATTGAAGTGCCTGAACCGTGACTAGTGGCTCTTGGTGGGTTTCAACTCTAGCCTACCCCAACTTGCTTGGGACTGAAAGGCTTTGTTGTTGTTGTTGTGAATATTTGAAACTTAACTCACTTCTAGCAGTTTCATGCAATGAATGACGTGCAGGTACATTATAAATGGCATGGTGATGTTGATGCAACACTTAGGGGCATGCCCCGACATCTCACAGTGGAGAGAGCTATTGTAGGTTTCCTTGATCTTTTTGCAGACATAGTACATGTTGCCGAAATAAATTCATACACCTTTTCCTTCCTAGCACATTTACTGCATAGTTTTGGGATGCTGGGATTTGATTGGTCCTAGGCTCCTACTCCGTAGTTTCCTACAGAGTCCACTTATATAAAAAAGTAAGATGTAGGTATTTGTGTTTCCCGCCTGCCAAGAGCTTTCTTGACTACACAATACAGAGTCTATGTGAACTGTTGAGGTGTTTGGTGCAGTTCCACTCATGAATTTTAAGTTCAGCAGTTCGGTTTTAGCATCAGTTTCAAACAAGGAGGCTTTGAGAGGTAAACCAGGCTTGGCAATTGGTCCAGAGTGGTGAAAGTTGCTCAAATATTTGCATGCCTGGATAGACATGTTCTTTACACTACACTAGTTTAGGCACCTCTAGCCTCTAGGTACTAGGCAGCACCATACAGCCTTCCTTACTCATATCAATTTGAAATGTCAGGTAATACACAATTACTTTTTCTGTACAAAATGTACCCAACCAAAAGATAAAAGTCGTTTACTTGCACAGTAAGAGGTAATAAATAGAAAATTCCCTTTTTGTCCTGCTTTTGTGAGATTGAGTTTTCATTTTCTCCAATATTTACTAAGTGATCATGATAATTCATGAATGCCATATTTTATGTTCATTCTTGTTACCATTTAAGATTTTACATTCTTGCTTGTTGTCAGTCTGAATTCAATTGCATTAATGTGGGAGCCTTAGAACTATGTTTTCTTTCATTTCCAGCTTCAGAGATTGAAGAAGTACCCCGGTAACTATCTACAAGCACTAATGGCTATACCTAAAACACTGAGACTGATGTATGTTGCAATATATTATCTAAATTTTCATTTGTATTGCTAATTATGTAATGAAGAATGTGGTACATCACTGTTATGTAAGAAATTAGTATTCAAAATCTACTGTCAGAATATATTGTTAGGGCTTTTCGTATTTACTTTGTGCTCTGGTACTCCAATGGAACCATGCTGTGCAGGTATGTACATAGCTACCAGAGTTACCTATGGAATCATGCTGCAAGTATGAGAGTGGAAAAGTATGGTAAGTCTACTTGTGCATTGGATTCTGCTGCTCTCGTTCAAGCTGTTGTTCTAAAACTAACCTTTCGCTTTCTTGGGAGTAGGGACTAGTATATACTCTTGTTTCTTCTGTATATGCTAATGGCTGAACTCACAGGTATTTCACAAGTTGTAGAAGGTGACTTAGTTTACAAAACAGGGTCCTCTCTTGGAGAAGCAACTACCACGGATACGTTTGATGATGGTGATGATAGCCATGCTAATTCACCTGAAATGGAATTGTCTTGTAAAACACTTCCTGAAGAAATGATCCAGTCTGTGAAGGTATGCTATAAAAAATCGTTACTGAGCATACTTCTGACGGCGAACCTTTCCATAACACTGATATAACAAAATTCCCAATCATGCGCTTCTCTTCTAGTTAGTTGATTCTGAAGATTTATTGAAGGCAGTCTACTCGTTTGAGGATGTTGTCCTCCCTTTGCCTGGGTGAGGACTGAGGAGCATATGCTTATGTCGTATGTTTTTGTGATTTGAGTGTTATGCACTTATGCTTACTATTTTCCACGTGCAGGTCAGAAACATTGTTTCCTGGGAATGAAGTTGCTAGGATTTATCATGAAATAGCCAAGAAGGTAATGAGTTTTGTCATGAACTTTTCAGTTATTCAAGAGGTTTGTTGTGTTATTGTTGGAACGTGGATTGCTACGAAGGTGATAGGAGTGGGACGTGGAGGGGTGAGGCTTGAACGCCCGGCGGCGAGGCGGCGGCGCCGTGCTCGGCGCCGAAGCTAGGGCTGTGGACGAGGGTGTGAGCGCTGGGGCGCCAGGGAGCGAGAGAGATGAATCTCAATCTCTGGCTGATTCTCATTAATGAATAGTGTTCCACACTTATAACCAAATGCTAACAAATCTCTCCTCACTCTAAGGAATAATGAAACAAACTCCTAAACAAACTCCTATTCTCTCTGAGGGTAACAAACCAAACGAAACAAACTTCTGAAGACTCGGCTGCCGCGAACAAACTGCGACGCCGCGACGTGGTGACCGCGCGCTGGTGCGCTCCTGCCGCGGTCCACCTTCAGCCACTGGCTTTGTCGCGGCGTTGGTATACCTTGCCGACCATAACAGTTATGAACTGAAGAAACATCTTTAATGAACTAATGATAACTAGATTATGTTGTACAAGCATCTTATGCTCTTTTATGCCCAAAAAAGGATATAATTGAAATTTTTTCTGTTTACATGCATATGATATGGAGTATCTAGTTATGAAATATAAATGTTTAGTCTGAAAGTTATGGTGAGGAAATGGTTTATTAGGTCATGAAGTCCCTTTTAACTTTTAGTGTTTCTTCCATCGGTTACTATATTATCTCTTCTTTAGAGAAATCTTTTTGACAAACTCATGGAATACATAATTCTTCCAGTCAGATTATGAAGACGTGATAGAGTTTCACATGTTCAAATTATTTCTTTTCCAACGACCACCATAATGTTCATCTTAATTTTGTGACACAGGATGGCATTAGCCTGATAGAGAGCGCCCATGGCATCAAGTAAGTCGCTCTGTCACAAGGTCCATTTTTTTTGCTGTCTGACTCCTCTTTTGAACAGTTTAGTGGTGCTTACGAACTGTAATCATACACTGCCACTAGAAAGTTCCTTCTGATTTCACCAGAAGGAAAATGAGGGTTTAAAATGACATTTATCTATGTAGGCTTTCCTTTTTGGTTCCTTATGCACAATATACTTTTAGGCCAGTGGAGCAAGTTCTTATTTGTCATACATTTCTTTGACTGTCATTTGTTAGGGACTTCTCGATTACAAGCATGAAAGGAGGTTACCGCCGCGTACTCCAACGCCCTATTGATTTTGAATGGTACACACAACACAAGCAGAGTTTTTCTGTTCCGTCGAATCAAATGCTTTGTCCCCTATCTTTTAGATTTAAACTTTAATTTTCTGTATATTTATTCATAGTGAATTTAGATGAACAACCCAAGCTAATTGTATATGTACTCCTGTACGACATTTGGTGCTATGATTTGTTTTTTAATGAATGCAGGGACCTAATGACTTACACTAATGACAATACACCTTTAGTACCAACTGATTTAGATATTCTATCAGAAACCCAGTCATCAGAAACAAATCAACCGTTATCTGATGGGACTTGCAGTTGTCCATCAAGTGATTCCAGGTTGCAAGCTTCATTGGACACCTCTGGACCAACCATTGAAGCTAGCTCAGTAGAAACCAAATCAATTGGCATCTCAGATCTGTCACCAGAGAAACTGGCTGTGAAATTAGAATTTACTCTACCAGCATCATCTTATGCTACAATGGCCATAAGGGAGTTGACGAAAACTTCAACTTTGGTGATTTCCTGGTCAATTCTTTTATTTGGTTTTGAAAATACTTAAATTATCTTTGCTACTCCTTCGTTTCATCTTTTGGTCATCGAACCGAACTATTGGGGCTCGACCACGATCACATAATTTTCTTTAGGTTGTCTCACTCAATGCTTTCCTTTTGACAGACAATTATCGTACAACTAAACAATCTATTTCTTCAGTTTGCACTTCAATGCTTGAACTCATCCACCCGTATAGTCCATAATGCTATGTTTTTCTTTGGTCATGTACAGGCTGCTTGCCAGAAGACATTAAATGGCTGACCGAGCCTTACGGTGTAGAATGCATTCTTCACAAGCTGGTATCCATTGTGACAAAATCACAGAATACATCATGTGGGTTTAGCTGGTACGTCACAATTGAAAATTTTGTTACTAAAATATACCTTTTCTTCAATACCTTAATTTCACATTATGATTTCCGGACTTGTTTCGGTACTTGGTTGCCTGCAGATATTTTCTTTTCTGAATCATACTATTTGGAGGATTTCTCTACTTATGGAGCTTCTAAAACAGATTGTCTGAGTGTGTGCCAGATGGTCAATTACATGGATGAACTACTACTTGAGGTTAGTTATTAAACATGAGAGTTGCGTGTTTAGATCCTAAAAACTATATAATAATTTCCTGTAGTAGCTTGCCTTGAAGTTGTATAATTTAATTTAGAGTAAATTGCAGAGCAAATTCCTAGGCTTGCTTCCCATGGTTGTGCTGCTTGGATCCCTGGACATGAGAATTGCATGTTTAGATCCTAACTTTATAAGTTGATCAATGGAGATCAAAATTTTAATTAGAAAATGTAATTGGGGATTATATAGTGCCTTGGCTAGTCTGAATGTTGCTTCATTATGTGATCATTTGAAACCACTATTGTCAAATAAAAAATAATAGTTCTTAGTGTTATATAATTTTCTGTGGGTAGGTGGAGTTTTTCTTTCTAAAAGTTTGTTTTATCCCCAAATTGGCATAAATCTGAATTTCTCTTTGATCAAATTCTTCAAAATTAGTTTGGACTCTATTTGCATTTGACTATTGGTAAGTACGGAGTAGTGAATTAGTGATTGTGCGTGCAGACTGCAGAGCAGGAAAATGAGCACTTAAGTAGCCGTCTAAGTTAGTTTGAAATTAATATTCCCTATCATATAAGGACCAAATGGTTCTTAAAAATATGTCCAGCTAATTAGTGTACTTATTGCAATTGGTAGTGTAATTCAAAATTCAGACATGACATGGAATAACAATCTGTACATTTGTCAATATACTACCACTGTTTTTGGTCAGCAAAGTTAATGATTTTGCCTTGTTTTACCATTTGATTTCATCTTCTTTTACCAACAAACTGTAGGTTTGTCAATTTACCCTGCAACGTTTGGCTTGACTTGTCTTATTTCATCTTCCCAGTGTATTGTCGAGAGCTACCCTGATACATGAGACATTTACTTGAAAATCATAATCGATGTACTAGAACATTAAGCTACCCTGCTCAGCAATGATGACTTGTCTTATTTCATCTTCTGTTGCTGGATACCCTCACGCTGTTCCATGATTTTTGAGAAAACTGGAACAGGTGCTGGTCTGTCAAATATGGATGTAGGAGTATAAACTTAGATGACTGAAAAGTAGCTTTACCTTTTGCAGATAGATCTTTTAGTTTTTAGTTATCCATCATATATTGTGATGTCTGAACTGAGGTCGCAACCTCGTCGGCATGCACATATGACTATGGACTTCTCACTACTGCGAGACGTGCACTACCTCATCTCGTCCATGTGCGTACCACTGTACCAGCATTTCCGGCTAAAATGCGGCTGATGGGTGCCTGGGTCATCAGGTGAGCCGCAATTATAGCTGGAAAGAATATACATAGCCAGCTACAGAAGCTACCGATCGATCCTCTATTCGCTCTGTCCATGAGACCATGAGTTACTACTGCTTTATAGTAATAACACGTATATTACTACTGCTGTACTGCAGCTGCAGCGCATGCTTAGTACGTCCCAAACTGTCAGAAAAGGTGGTAAAGGGTTTACCATAGTTTTCGCCCTTCATCCAAAAGGATATGCTCAAATACATTTGTTTAATTTCAGTGGTTTCTGACTTGAGCCATTACCTCGCCCGATTCTCAAAAGAGGCATCCAGTGGTGCTAGCTCACGCAGCGTCCCATTTCTTAACACAAAAAACCTGGCCCTCAATGCTTATCTCTTGTACGGTAGGCACACATGCGTTGGACCAATATATATTGTCACAAACTATGAACATCAGTTCGAAAGCTCCGCTGCGGACGTCGGTTATTGGATAAGCATGCTTAGCCCATGCACGGTCGCCCTGAAACTTGCCGGTCATCTAGCCACTGAACACGAGTCATCCTTCGAAAAAAACATAAACAGTCGGTATCAGTATCTTTCTCCCCTGACAAAAACATCACCATCGCTATCCTTTCAGAGTCTCATTCGCCTCATCAGAAACCACGGAAAAGCGTGGCGGAGGGACCGGTTCCGCACCTGCAGCGACCGGGTCTGCAAAGCCAAAGCATTTGCCAAATCCTGAGCGGAATCCACGTGCCGCACATGGAACCGCCCGGTGGCCCCTTGTCCCGGCCCACCGCTGCTCCCCTACTTTGCCGATCGATGGACGATAACGGGTGAACGCCAGGACGGTGATAAGCGCACCGCCCTCTCGCTCTCAGTGCGGAATCGGGATGGGAGCACCGCACCTGGCGAGAGCCGAGAGATACGATACGCCCCCGCCGCACACGCAGCAGCGTTTGTCACGCTCAGGGTGGTCCGAAAAAGCATGGTTGGAAGAGGTACGCAGGAATGGGCGCATGGCAATCGCGTCCCGGGACCGACCGGAGAGGGGGAGCACGATGGGGACCGGGGAGCACTCGCTCTCGTACGTAACGAGCGCAGCAGCGCACCTGCAATTTTTGCATAGCAAGTCATAATTGTCGTTGTCAGCGCACTTGTACAGGTTCGTTATTGGTTGCCTACACCATCTTCTGCACGATTAATTTGTCCGAGATCGGTGTACAGTAACTCCGGGGGTTCTGCTCACCACCCACAGTTCGTACAGTGCGTGCGGATCAGTGCAAAAATGGCACCATCTTGGGCCTTGTTTAGTTTGCATCCAAATTCTAAGTTTTTTTCACTCTCTCTCTCACATCAATTTTTGGATGTATATATGAAGCATTAAATGTAGATAAAAAAAATAACTAATTACACAGTTTGGTTGTAAATCACGAGACGGATCTTTTGAGTCTAGTTAGTCCATGATCGGACAAAGTTTGTCAAATACAAACGAAACGTGCTACAATGTCCAAGATTAAAAATTTGCAATCTAAACAAGACGTTGGTGGCAATTTTGGCGAAGAACTCGGATGTCTGCGCGCGACAGGGAAAGCCGCAAAGCAGGCCGCACGAAAATGGGAGCAAAGACTGCGTCAGCTGATCAGCTCCAGCTCCGTGGAAAATTCGCCGGTTTTGGATGCATATGCATCCTTCACGCCCGGGCAGGGGCAGACCGGCAGAGCGTGACTGACTTGCTGCTGCATCAGTCAGTCAGTCAGTCAGCCTGGCACATACGACAAGTGGGCGTCGGCTAGCGGGGTCCTTAACCAAACGGGTTAGCAGCGCTTGGCGCTGTGATGAGACGCTAAACAGTCACGGGTTGGATTCAGAGATCAGATTCAGATCTCGTGCACTGCACGCGGGCCGAGGGCGATTAAAAGTCCCCCAGCTCCCCGCACCGGAATAGTAGGATTTCCAGAGACACAGAAACAAACGGAGAAGCAGAGAAACCCTTTCCACGCAGATTCATCCGGTTCGGTTCGGTTCGGTTCGGACCACGCGGGACGGGCGCGGGAGAGAGAGGGAGAGATGAGCGCGGCGGAGGAGGACGCGGTTGCCGCTGCGGCGGATGGGGGATCCGGTGGCGGGAGCAGCGGCGCGGGGTCGTCGGAAGGGGGCGCGCGGCGCCGGTTCGACGACAAGGGCCTCGTCGTCCGCACCTCGCTCATCCTGTGGCACACGCACCAGAACGACGTCGGCGCCGTGCGGAAGCTGCTGGAGGAGGACGCCGCGCTCGTCAACGCCCGGGACTACGACAGCCGCACGCCGCTCCACGTCGCCGCGCTCCACGGATGGCACGACGTCGCCGAGTGCCTCATCGCCAACGGCGCCGACGTCAACGCCCAGGACCGCTGGCAGAACACGGTGGGTGGGTGGGTGGGAGTGGGGTGGGCCAGTCTCCTCCGACGATCCTCCCCTGCCCCTTGCATCTGCGTTTGATTTGCATGCTCTGTCTGTTCCGATATTCTCTGTCTGTTCCGATGTCGCGGGCTCGATTTGGGTTGATGCTGCGCCTTGGCCTCTTTGTTTTCGTGTTGGAACGATTCAGAGGTTTCAGATCCTACTCTCTTCTGTTGGGATACGATTGGCTTGTCGAATTTGACAATTTGGAAAGGCACGCGATCAGTTACATCCACGCTCTGCAGCTTTTCATCCTACTACTGCGTTGTACTCTTTCATCTTCTGCGTTGGGCTTGGGAACCGGTTTTCCTTAGTGTCTCGACCTTGCTGCATTTGAGGAATTTGCAGATTGCGCTGCGAATTCATGGGGTCTCGCGCTTGCTATGTTGGCTTGTCAAATGTGCCGGTGCTACAATGATCGGTTCATTCCGCTCTTAAAGCATGTTTTCATGACATTTGTTTCCTCGCGACGAGTCATACTTTCATTCAGTCTCGATTGTTGCTTATTTGGTTCGGTTTGGTGTTAAGTCTTGATGTAGAAGCCTGGCGTGGTTCTGTCCAGTGCACTTCTAGGTTTATGTTGGCTGATGGGTTATATTCGTGCTGTAGTGCTGTAAATATTGACTGGCTTGGTCCAGACTCTCATATTATGATGTCACACTTAGGACGATTGCTAATCATGCTAACATTTCTATGGTTTGTGAACAGCCACTAGCTGATGCGGAGGGCGCAAAGAGGCAGTCCATGATTGAGCTGCTCAAGGAGCACGGCGGATTGACATATGTATGTGGTCGATAACTTGATTTAACAGGTTGTCTTGGTTATTGGATTGCAAAGTTTTAGGTTGAATAGGTTTGACCTGTAGCTCAAGATTACTAAATCTGTAACTTGAACACCAGGTATTCCAATTCCACCTGTCACTGTATGGTATGGGTTTAGTGGGTGAGTCCCCTGTATATTGCTCTGCAGCTGTTATCGGTGCAATGTTTCTAAATACGTATCCAGGACACATGGTCCCCAATATTGTTGTCGGAAGTAGAGGTGTCCTCTCTTTCTTTGGCAAAATATTAGGTGATCTAAGGGGGAGGACTTGGTGATTTACACATGCTCTGTTTAGTTGATACTTTTGGTTTACCTTTTGCTTGCAACTAGATTAATCATGCTCTACTGGACTACGAGTTTTAAAACTGGCGGTTGTAAATATGATATGATTATGCAGATTGATGCATCATGTGATCGTTCTCATCTCCTTCGAATTTTTCCTTTTTACCCTGTAGGGGAAAACTGGAAGCCATTTTGAACCAAAGACGATTCCACCACCTCTAACAAATAAGGCTGACTGGGAGATTAACCCACTTGAATTGGACTTTACAAAAGCACAAGTTATCGGAAAGGTTTCAAGTCTTGAAACATCTCTTTCTCAATACAATTATTTGATAAAGTATTAGCATAGTTCAATGATTTACTGTACTTCACTTTTAGTTCCTTTTGTATTGGGTTATCTTAAGTTCGTGTAACCTGCTTCCTACAACAGGGCTCTTTCGGTGAAATTCTGAAAGCAAATTGGCGAGGAACACCTATTGCTGTCAAGCGCATTCTTCCATCCTTATCTGATGACAGGCTGGTGATGTAAGCCAATCATATCAGAATAACTACCAACCTCCTTGCTTGCTCCAACTGATTGATTGTACACCAATTTTTCATCAATCGTAGTTAACTATAGTGTTCTAGTTACAAGATACATGTTTGTGTATGCATGTTTATGTAATGTTTTTTTCCCTTTCCTGCAGCCAAGATTTTAAGCACGAAGTGAACTTGCTAATAAAGCTGAGACATCCAAATATTGTCCAGTTCCTTGGAGCAGTTACAGAAACCAAGCCTCTAATGCTAATTACTGAGTTTCTACGAGGAGTATGTATTTTGCTTTGTGTTCAACTATCATTTTGCGTGGACTATTTGGAACTTGCTCATGTTAAGTTAAATTCATTTTTCAGGGTGATCTTCATCAATATCTGAAGGACAAAGGTGCACTCAACCCACTTACCGCTGTTAGTTTTGCACTGGATATTGCAAGGTACTCTCACCTCATGTGCTTGAATCTTAGTGCATACACCTCTGTTTCACTGTGTTTGTCCATAGCACAACAAGTACTTGATTTGGGATGGCCATGCGCTCCCCTATTAATTACATGATAGAACTATTTCTCTTGTTTCAAAGCACTTGATTCGGGAATGGGAGTGAAAACATATATACAATAATTACACAATCGATGTCCTCAATGGACGAACATTGCGAGACGTATTCTCCCAAGGCTGAGGACAAACACAGCGAAACGTCCTCGAGTAATATTGTGTTCTCCTCAAGGCCTTTATAGTTGTAATATTGTTAAGAACAGCCGTTATGCTATTTAAATAATTTCTCGTGTAATATATAGTAGTTAAGAATAGCCTTGACCGTGAGTACATTGACTCTGCAGTTACAAATGCATCTATTTATCATCCCTCATGAGATCATGTCAAATCTATTAACAGCATTATAAACTTATGGTAACATGGTCTGTTGGATCTATTTGAACTGTAGATTGAGAGATGGCGTGCCATAATAGTATATGCATTCTAGTTATGCCATAAACACCATATCCTTGAGCCTTCATATACTGCCTGCATGTATTTCTGACTCACCTCATTGCATACCACTGTCACTCCAATGTATTAGCTGGTTTTCCGTAATTCTTAGCTGTAATAATTGATTCTTGTGTTATTTTTTTCATTATGTTTTTTCTTTTGCAGAGGAATGGCATATCTTCATAATGAGCCTAATGTTGTGATTCACCGAGATTTAAAACCAAGGTTTGTCATGGAATTGCTTGCTTTTGATAATGTGACAATATTTTTTGTCCCAGTCTAACTCAATGTGTCAACTTCTAGAAATATTCTTCTGGTGAATTCTGCTGCCAACCACTTGAAGGTTGGAGACTTCGGCCTTAGCAAGATCATCAAAGCGCAGCACGCGAATGATGTATACAAGATGACTGGAGAGACAGGAAGCTGTAAGCTTCAGGAGCTACCACTCTCCTTTGAATATCTTCTCTTGAATTCAATATATTATGCAATTGTTAATTGTTATGTTTAACTTCGGACAAACATAGATCGGTACATGGCCCCTGAAGTTTTCAAGCACCGGAAATATGACAAGAAAGTTGATATCTTCTCTTTTGCCATGATTCTATATGAGGTAATTTCATCCCTAAAAGTAGAAGCCACCACCCAGCAGTAAGGTGGTATCACTGAATGACCTAAGATTATTCTGTATGATCGTAGATGATGGAAGGTGATCCACCCTTCTCCAGCTACGAACCTTATGAGGCTGCTAAGTACGTGGCAGATGGGCATCGCCCAGTTTTCCGTAAAAGTCATACCAATGAGTTGAAGGAGTATGTATTAAGTCAAAAAATCCTTGACACTCTTACAATTGCCATGTTAACATGGAGAGTGTGCTGCAGTATTTTAACTTGTTTTTCTTATTTCTTATTGCAGTTTGGTTGAGCTATGTTGGTCTGGGGATATCAATCTGAGACCATCTTTCTTGGAGATCCTCAAGAGGCTTGAGAAGCTCAAGGAGCATTATTCGCACGAGAACCACTGGCATTTGTTCCAGTAGCAGTGCATATATAATTATATATTCGTTACTACAACTGGTGTCTTGAATGGGGTTTTCTCGGGAGATCTGACATTGATGAATGTACAGAATTAGGTGCCTCGAGAAAGGTCCAATGAGACTACAAAATTTTCTTGCTGTTTTACGTCGATGCTATTTCTGTTAAACAAAACAGAAGCTTTGTTTGTACCACATCCTTTGCAACTCTGTCTTTAGGTTTTCTCGTTGCTTCTCTCCGTACATTATGAAAAATATTGAGCTATTAGACCGTAGTTGTGCAGCATATAGGTTGATGTGGGGTTCTATAGATCAGATGTTTTCCTTTTTCTATTCTTTTCTGTTGCCAGGATCTTTATATGCTTATTGAGAACTGCCTCATTGGCGATGGGAAGTGAATTTACCATGCATATTCTGTAAGCGTTACTTAAGTCAAAGAAGTTACTGTAAACTTTATACAGAGACATTTTACGGATTACAAATTTCGTTGTGATTACAATGTACTATGTTACCTTTATGATCTGGAGAAGGTGATTCTTTGCAGTTTCCTGATTGAACTGGTAACTATTACGGCACTGCAGTCTCAAGTTTCACTGCAACTGTAGCACATGATAGTTATCAGGTTACCGGCCATCGATCATTGCAGTCATGGTGTAACAGCCATGCTGCAGACTACACCCAGACGATTACATGTGGAACTGGCGATTAGAGTCTAGGAACGTGGGGCTTTTCATAGCTCTGCTTCACAATAGCTAGCAGGTAAAAAAAAAAACAGGCGCTCCAGATTCACAACTATCACGTAAAGAAGAGTCAACGCGGTGCTCAAGAAGTCCAAATTACAACACAAACTATTGAATGGAAGACAATTTAGTTTCCCTTTTAAGTTTCTTATAGAAGTTCAACTGGACAGGCTAAAGCATAGTGAAGCATATTTCTCTAGTATGACATACCAGTTTCTTACATGGGATTTCAAGCTCTGTAACAGATCGACAGTTCACCCAAAAATAGGTTACACCTGCGCTGAGGTCTACCGTGAATCAACTACAGCAACTTCTTCCTCTCAAAGAAGGTCTTCAGGTGCCACAGCTGCAAACCTGCCACTGATAAGCAGATGCCAAGGGAGAGGAACCCTAGCCAAGCCATCCTTGAGTTTGTTCGCCTGTTCAGGTCCTGCATTTCCTCTTCCCTGGACACAAGACGTGGCCATGTAGTATCAGAATTGCTTTTTAGTTTTCCACAAAATCCATTTTCTCGCTGACTTGGTAGATACTACCTTTCACGCAGATAAAACATCTCTTCATGTATATTTCTTATAGTTTCCTCTAGCTTCTTCAGCTCCAATTCCATCATCTGCAACATATGAGCAATACACATGCATGAACAGAGGCACTAGCCATAAGAAACAGCATGGCAAAAAGTAGTACTATTCTCACAAAAACAAGACAACTTGCTCAGTCTCAGGAATTGATTATGACTTATGAGCAGTGTCAACACAGCCAATAAATAACCAGAGGAGCAAATGCTATATGAGACACATTATTAGCAAGATCAGTTATGTTCAATTCCTAGATAGCACTAAAAGTTTAAATTACAACCCAATAATTTGCAAATACGAGATGAAAAGCAGATAAGCTACACACAGCCACCAAAATGCCCAGTTTCAAGTTCTAAGAAGTCAGCAAAAGGATAAGTCGTCTTTTCTCCAATTCCTTTTCTTCAATGGAAAGTTCAAAAAATGCCCTTATGATCAACATTAACCTATAATAGTTCAATGCAGAAACCACGACATCCCACCTTCATCACATATCATCTCTCTCGGTCCACTTCTCTAGAATTTTATGCCAATAGACCAAACTTGTTTAACATGTGTTCAATACGAATCTGACTCTAAATCACATATGATGCTTACCATTAAGCCATGCATAATTAAAACGAGATAAAAAAAACACCAAGTGAGAGATTAAAACATTACAAATGTCAATTGTGTACCTGTTATTCATTCAAGTACAGTCAACATTGTGCACAACTTGTATGAAACTAAGTACACATTGCAATGAAAACCAAGTAAAAACACCACAAAAAAAGTAATGAGCAACCTGTTGGTTACTAAGCTTATGACCTTTCTACATCCACATTGAAGAACATATAATTGAACTGCAGGAATGACTTACTAATATCAATATAAAAAAAAAAGGGTGTACCCAGTGCAGAGAGCTCCCGCTCTGTGCGGGGTCTGGAGAAGGGTGTCAATGGCAAGCCTTACCCTCGCCTGTACTAATATCAATATACTTTTAAAAAATGAGCTTCTTGATTCAAATTAAAAACCACACGAACATATATTTTTTTCCAAAAAATCCAGCCCCACACCTGTACCATACTTGAACCCAGAACCAGGGCAGAAAATATAAATATACCACCTGCAAATATACTCCATGACAAGGTAGCAAAACTAAAAAGAACTCATTATGAAGCGCGTAAAACAGACTACAAAAGCATGCACAATCCATACCCAAATTGAACTCAACTTATTTCAGAAAATTGAAAAGCTCTAACTAGTAAAATCTAGCAGTCCAACATGCAAACACACCAAAATCACTATCAAGCTGAAAGTTGCAAAACCAAATGCTCTTCAACATCAACGTGGAACAGAATTGATCAACAAACTGTCAGCATGCACAATCAGAAAATTATTCCTGTCTAAACATACTAGTCCCGCAACCGCACAAGTTAGTCCACACCAAGCACCCAAATCGAAAGAGCAGTCCTGTAATTATGCTGCCACAAGTAAATTAGAACCCTCGATCTATTTTCCTAATTCCAAAAAGTGAACCACTAACCAACGCTATATCTATCGACGCGACCAGATTGGTGGTGAATTGACCAAAACAAAGGTAGGAATCTGAAGAGCGAAGCGAAATACTCACATCGACCTTGCCCTTCTTGGCGACGCTGGGATAGTCCTTGGCAGAGACGCCGCTCCTCCAGTCGAACTCGAACTCGATGGTGACCGGCGGCTTGTGGTCGGGCGCCCAGAAGCAGGCCAGGTAGTCGCCGGCCTCCGCCGCCGTGAAGGCGAAGTGGCCCGACTGCACGTTCTCCGCGTAGTGCATGTTGTTCCCGTACGGCGAAGTCACCTGCCCATCAATCGAAGGAAAGCGCCCCCAATCATCACACGCACATCGCCATGGGTTCCCCTCCCAAGCCAGATCACCCAATAGCCGCTTGGCGCTGCTCGCTTGCTTACCCTGAGGGAGATGCGGTGCGATTCGGGGAGCTGGGCGTCGGGGAAGTTGGGGTCGGGCCCGACGATGTGGTACTTGCCGACGGCCATGGCGTTGACCTTGATCTCGTCGGAGACGCACTTGGTGTGGCCGGACTCGAGGTCGAACCGGAGGGCGCGGGCCGGCGACGGGGCCGAGAGGAGGGCGGAAGCGACCAGGAAGAGCAGCGCGGACGGGCGCAGCCACCTGGAGGCGGGGGATCCGAGGCGCCGCGCGGCCATCGCCGGAGATCGGGGGCTGGGGAGGTCACGGGGCTGGAATTCGCGTTTGGCTTGTGGGAAGGGGAAGACGATGACGCGATGCGCTGGGCCGTGTCAGAGAGCGCGACTAGTTGAAGAGGTTTCTCAAGTCTGACGTCAGGGTGCTTAAAGCTGCAGTGTTTTTTTTTAAAAGGTAAAAGTTCCATTGTATCACAAACATGTTACAGAGACGAGGATTTTGTTACACAGTCGTGGTTTTGTAGCACAAGCTTGATTTTACAAGTTGGATGATGCGCAAGTGCCTGACAAAAAAAAGACTTTGAATTCTAGATGATCGCTCGTCTTGCCTTTTTAGCAAGTGCCTGTTTACTTTCTAAAATTTTACAAAATTTTCCAAAATTCTCCGTCACATCAAATCTTTGGACGCATGCATGAAGTATTAAATATAAATAAAAAATAAAACTAATTACACAGTTTAGACGAAATTCACGATACGAATCTTTTAAGTCTAATTAAACTATGATTGTACACTAATTATCAAATAACAACGAAAGTGCTACAGTACCATTTTCCAAAAGATTTCGCCAACTAAACAAGGCCCAAGCCTATCAGCTATCTTATTTGCCTCCCTATGGATCTTACGTATTGTATAGTTTTTTACTTGGATAATGTCATGTATTTCAGCAATGATTGGACGTATCGACCAATGTCTAGGATGAGTGTGTGGCGATCCATCAAGCACAGCGGAAGCCAGTACTTGGTTGTTAGTGAACAGAGTTGCGTCCTGTAGATTGAGAGCTGTAGCTAGCTTTGCACCAAAAAGGAGGGCCTGAGTTTCAGCCTCCAAGGGCTCCAAGACCTGTGGAATCGTTACCTGGAAAAAAGAAACATGGGAGACACTTCTAGCAGGTCGGGTGAGAATGCACTCTCCAATCCCTGTTTAGTTTGCTGTAGTAGGATTTTGAGAATCAACAAAGGCGTCACAAAAAATCTTAGGAGCCTCGTGGGCCTGCATTGTAGTAGTATGAGTAGCATTTGCTATTCTCTCAGGAACCTGCAAGGTAGTAAAGCAAGTAGAATCTGCAGGTGTTGGATTTGTAGCAGCATGTGTAATAGATTGAGGCATAGTGTTGTCTCCAATGCTATATTGTATGCCGTATCAGTAGCTTTTGCCTCATGCAAAACCCTTGTAACCGTCCAATTGGATTTGTTAAATCTGTGATCATTGTGAGCTTTCCACAAACACCATATAATGGAGAATATCATACCTATAGTAGCATGAGATGGTCCCTGCTACAATATAGCAGTAATTTGGGAGTGGAGACCGTGACCTGTTTGTGGTAAGGCATGGGCTCTAAGGCCAATGGGCGAAGCAAACCAGACCGCCCGAGCAAAGCTGCAACCAAAAAATAGATGGTTGTCATCTTTAGGCCTCCCGCAGCGAGTGCATGTATCATTGACCGTCGGAATAATCCTATGGATCCTACAAGCTGTCCCAAGTGCAAGTCTAAGAAGTCCCCATGCA